CCCGGGCAGCCCCGGGCCTCCCCGCGCCCCAAGGCCCATTCTCCTGAGCTTGCCCCTGCAAAGTCTAAACCTCGTAGCCGCTTTTTTTGTTTTTTATGTTGTTGTTGTTGTTATTGGGGGAATGAGTAAGTAGACTCTGCTGCTTCTGCTGCTCCCCAGAGCAGAATTCAGCTCTTAACCGCTGCCAGCTCCAAATTCTGATACTACTTACAACAGCTTAAATTAGTGCCTGTGTTAACAGAGCACGCGCTTTTGCTCTAAAAATGCCAATGCACAACAAAGTTCTTCTTTTAAAGCACGCAGGTCTTGTGTCATCCGTGGAAACTTCCTTCTGCTTTTTGGTTTTATCAGCTGCAGTGTTGCAAGGCAGTGAAGAAAAGACAAGCTCTGGCCTCGTAGACAATTTTGTCATTGTCCGGATTTGTTCCCCAGGCTGCAGCAGTTTTTAAACACGTACAGAGCACCCAAAGGCACAGCAGTCATTAAAATTAAAGTTTCGCTTGTAGAATCTGATGATTTTGCATTAAAAAAAAAAAGTGCATCTCCTAAGCACTAACTTGAGTTTGCAGCAACGAGCACATTACTGAGAATTGCTGAGAGAGTCACAATTATTGTTTTGACCTGAAAAGGCCCACGTGTTGTGTTAAAGATAATGTGAGTATACGACTAATGTTGCACGTGGGCTGACTGAAAATTAGATTTGTTTAAAATCCTGAATTTCCATTCTGTGGCAGGCTGCAGTGGCTTGGTGTAGTCCAAATATAAGATGGAGAGTAAAAACAAAACGCCATTTGGATTCAGACGTGAATGGAATCAACCAAAAATCTGGCATCATCATTTACATCGCATAATTATTTCAAAGTTTGTCCAGCTTGTTTTGACTATCAGCTTAAATTACTTTATTTAATGAAATACTCATGGGAAAACCCAAAAGTGAAATTTGTCCATGAAGTCACATCCATATCTGGATACAAGCTGTGAAGGAAACATTAGTTTTCTTAAATCAAGGTAGACTTCTAAAATTACTTTGCTTAAAACCAAATCTTTGTGGAGATTTGTTAGAGCCTGCCAGTTTGCTTGCCGTAAATATGTAAGTCAGGGTGGTTTTTGAACCATCTGCTTTTTAGTAGCTGTTCTGGGAGCAAGCAAACAGGCCACGCAAAAGAGCGGAGAGCCTTCAGGACACGGTAATTTTCAGCCCTGTGATTGAATCGCAGAGTGTTTGGGTGGGAAGGGACTGCACCTCCTGCCAGCACGGGGTCAGGCAGCCCCCGGCTGCTCGGACTTCTGTCCAGTCTGGTCTTGAAAACCTCTGAGGATGGAAACTGTGCGGTTTCTCTGGGCAGCCCGCTGTACTGCTGGAGTGTCCTCAGGGGAAAAGTTTTTCCTTGTATCCAGTCTGAACCTCCAATGTCGATTTATGACCATTGGGTCTCCTGCCCCTCAGTAAAGACCTTCCAGAAAAGTACTGGAAAGCTTTCCTCAAAGCTGCCTCTTCTCCAGGCTGAGCAAACCTCTCCGCGCAGCTGGAGTGCCCCAGCCATCTGACCTCATGGCGGTCGTCTGCTGAGCTCGCTACAGTTTATTGACATCTTTCTTGTACTGGGGGCCCAAAAACTGGACACAGTATTCCAAATGTGCTCTAACAAATGCCAAGTAAAGGGCAATAATCGCTCTCTTCTCTCTTCTGGCTGGGCCCCTGCTGATGCAGCCCAGTCTGCCGTTACCTTCGTTACCTCCAGAGCACAGTGCTGGCTCTTGTTTAGTGCGCCGTCCACCAGGACCCCCAGATCTACACCGTGATCATGAAGTAGCAGGGTGGGCTGATACTAGCTCTTTCAGGGAGTGTTTCTCCCTGGGCTCTCCCTCTCCATACTGAATCAGGATGCCCATTTGTCACATGCTGTGGTGAGTCAGTGCCACAGTAACACCCTGACAAGCTTGCAGCCACATGCAACTCTGAGCTGGCAGCAGTCATGGGGCCCAGTGTTCAGCTTTCTGGTAGAAACACAAAATGTGCTGAGCCGGGGTGATTTTGAGACCCAAGAAGCAAACTTGCACAGTGCCTAGGATTGCTAAAGGGGCACAGGGCAGGATAGGGTAAGGCCTGGGTAGAACTGCGCTTGCAGCAAGGACTCCAAGGCGAATTCGTATTGCCCTTGTAAACAAAGCCTGAAATCTTCTGCTTTCCTGACCAAGAATTTTACCGTATAGTCACGATGTGCTAGAGAGCCAAGTGTGGGAAAGAAAAGCTGCAACTCGCATGAGTTCATGCTTCCCTCTGGGGCGTTGGGCAAGGTATTCTGACTTTTTGAGCACTGGTTTTGCACCCTGGGACGGTATCTCAAAAGGCTTTATGGTTCAGTTATTTTTTGGAAAATGTTTGCAGTTTGAAAACATTACAGATTCCAGCAGACATGCTGGAAGAACTGCCGAGTACGTGTTGTAAAACCTCAGGCTTGGGTAGTTCGCTTTCAAAGCTTGAATCTTGGATGTCTGTCTGTTCTGTGATGCTGGGTCTGTAAAAGCTTGTCCTGAATTTGAAAAGGGAGCTAATGCTGAAGACAGCCCTTTTCATTGTTGTAAGAATGATGTATGTTAAAAACTTTTCCTTAAAAAGACCTATAGTCTTGCGCATGTAGATGCGGAACCACTTCATGTTTGTTGTTAGAGGTACAGGACAGAAAGGGAGGCTGAGACATCAACAGAGGAAATCGTTTGTCAAAATAAATCTTCTAGAATACCCACACAGTCCTCTGTCGGAGGCTCCAGGCTTGGTGTCAGTCTGTGACGACTGAATCACACCGCTGCCTTGGCTTTGCTGCCTGTCTAGATTTCTGGTCTTGCTTTAACACAAAACTTAATGTTACTCATTTTGATCTTCTGATAACTTGGAAAAGCAGGAACTCTGCGTCTGGGAATTCAGCGGCAGCGACGTGGAGGGTACTGAGGCACGCTGATAGTGTGGGCCTTAAGTCCTAAGTATTTGAGTCTTGCATAAGTCTTAAATAACCTATTGTTTCCTGAAGGTGAAATCTCAGCTAGAAGAAAAAGAAGGGAAAACATTTGATGTCTTCACTGCAGTGGAGTTTAAAACTCAGGTGGTTGCTGGAACAAACTTCTTCATCAAGGTAGAGGACACTGGGGATTTTTATAATTTTTTTTATTAATTTGTATTAATGTGTAATTTTTATTAATGTGTATTTGGAATGGTGGGGTTTTTCTTTACTTACCTCCAGGGGGGCGCTTATGATTTGGACTTACTAAGAAAAAAATCTGTGCGTTTAAAAAAAAAAATAAAAATCACCCCCTCCTCCAACGTGATGTTTTTTTCTTACCACCTCTCTGCTCCTCCTTCCACAAAACAGAGAGGTCTACACCATCCC